CCACCACAACTTTCTTCAGTGGGTTGTTCTGAGGACAAGTTGCGAGAGCAAAGAGAACCATAGATGCCTGGTTGAACTTTTTGGAGGAGAGGCAAGATATACACATAACCAAATAAGCCAGTGGGATGGGGAGGTCCCCTAATCCTGGTCTTTCTCTCTGTGAGCTTACAGGCTAGTGGTGGATTTTAAGAATACCAGAAAGCCAGCCCACCAACAGTCCTTTTTGATCAGAGGCTGACAATCAGGGCGACAAACGGGTTAAGGCTGCTCCTTTAATGCTCTGTGAGTTCTTGCTCGGCCCTGGGATATTTGGCTAGAGAGAGTTTTTAGTCTGACCTAGCAAAGCACCTTTGGAAGAGGCTGGTGCTTATGCCTGCCTGATAGCCATGCCCCCTCTGGCCAGGCTTCTGCAAGGCCCTGAACTTCAAGCATTGCTTCTATACTCTGTGGATATTTCCAAGATGAAACAGTGTCTCTTATGCAGGATGGAATTCTGAGCTGAACTGGAGCTCGCTCGCTCTCTTCCTTCCAAAAAGCTAGCGACTTGACCCCGTGCCTGAAAGGTTTAATGTTTCTGCCCCACTTTCCTAGTCTGCTACAATAAACCCCAAATGTACTTGAAAAGCTGCTGAGAGGATTAGCAAAAAGAAAATGTATGCAAATTGAAACTTGCATAACTTTGATCATCATCATTCTGGGGTAGAATGTAGCTGTCTTGGTTAGCCCTGTCTATGTATACTCCCCTCCTGGAGCAAAGGGCCACTCTGCTGTCCTCAGCGTTGCTGGGCTGGGGATCCCATTCACCCTGGATCCCGTCACATATTTCAGCCAGGGGTTTGCCCCAGATGCACAGGAGCCACGGCATTCAGTGAACGCTCCTACAAGATGGAGCCAGCAGTACCTCCAGATCTGCCCTGCATCTGCCCATTTCCAGTGTACCATGCAGCCTCCTTCCTGCAGCAGCAGCAGGGCAAGTGGGAGATCTCTGCATCTTGAAACAATTTCAGCTCTTGGGGAGGAATGGCAGGCACGTTACAGTAAGGAACTTATCTGTATGTTGCAAAAGACAGGGGTACAGGCACAAGGGTATTGCACTGTCTCTCAGTGCTCTCTCACTTAGGAAAGGTGAGCTGTGAGTTGGCTGGGACTAAAAAAGGATGGCAGACCTCCCCCTGTGCCTGGATTTAGCCTAAATGTGATTTCTTCATGCCCCCTCCTCCAATATTTGGTGATGCTTCACTTATTTGTCCCTTTCGCTTTCTATCTCCTTATGCCTCTCCCAGCCCTTAGGGCAGGACGCAAGAATTTAAAAATGACACACATCAAGATAAGGCTGAGACAAACCAGAATCCAGGCTGTCTCTGGCTCTTAAAAGCAGAAGCCCTGTTGCTAGGAGCTCAGGTCAAATAAAAGGGTTTTATGGCACTTCCAGAAATGTTCTGGCTTGAAAAGCTGAGGGATGGGCAGGGCATACACATTTCTACAGGTGCGAAGGAGTCATTGTGAGTGGAATTTTATGCCTTTTTTCTCTTTGGACTCGTCAATGAAAAATGCAGAAGGATTTCCTCATTTAATCTTGAGCCATTGGGACCCCTTTGATACCTGCCCTCGGCCTGTATGTAAAAAGAGGAGTATCTTGAAGCATGGGAAGAAAGCACTCTGCACATTAACCCAGTGCAGCACACACATCTTATACTCTAGGATAGGGCTTTGGCTGGGAACATAAAAAGAGACATGCCATGTCACACCAAACTCTGTCTGGTCCTGCATTCTAGTCCCACGGTGGCCAACCAAATACCAGTGAGAAACCCCCTTCCCCTTTGGACAGGCCGCCTAATAGCCCCTGTCTGCCTTATCCTCTACATAATTAGCCAGTCCCCTTTTAAAGCCATCCAGATTGGTGGTAGCCGGCTGCAACAACTCCTACTGTTCAGCTTAGAAAAAAGGAAGTAAAGGGGGACATGATAGAAGTGTTTAAAATAATGCATGGCATGAAGAAAGTAGAGAGGGAGACATTTTTCTCCCTGTCCCATAATACTTGAACCCAGGGTCATTCCATGAACCTGATTGGTGGGAGGTTTAGGACAGATAAAAGTAGTTCATCACACAGCAAATGGTTAAACTCTGGAATTTGCTGCCATGGGAAGCAGTGATAACCACCAATCTGGATGCCTTTAAAGGGGGATTGGACAGATTCTCGAGGGAGGCGATCAGTGACTACTAACCATGTATAGCACATGTTACCGCCTTCACCAAAAGTGGCCGGCCTGCATACACCGGTTCTTGAAGGCTTAGGCAGGAATAGGTCTTGCACTGATCCTGCTTGAGGAGTCCTGTGGATAGCAGGATCTCCACCATGTGGTCAGTGCTGGGCTGGATGGACTTTGCTCTGATTCAGCATGGCTGCTTTTATGCTCTTACGTTCACCACATCATCTTCATGGTAGCAAATTCCTTAGTTTAATTATGTGCTGTTTGACAAAGTATAATGACAAAACTTTCTACCCCTATCTGTTTTTTCCCACAACTCCAAGGGCTCTTTCTTAATTAGTCCCTGCCAGATCAGGCTGTATCAGCATATACATGAAGGTGGGGGGGTGTTGTGTTTGTTCTTCGTTATTCCATGTGCATCATTTCACATTCACACTTGCTTACTTTGAACCACATTGTGGTTTTTCTCTGGAGAGGCCTGAGTTTCAACCTCTGCTCCTGTTTTGGAAATTAAAGCAACCTGAGACTGCTCTGGATAGTAAGGAAGGAGACATTGTGTGGATGTGTGTGCAACAAAGAGAGAGAGAGAGAGAGAGAGAGAGAGAGAGAGAGAGAGAGAGAGAACGCGCGCGCGAGCGCACTTTCTGGTGGTCCAAAGACTCCAGCCTGGTATGAGTGAGAGCAGCAGAGCTCCTGTCTGAAAGGGCAAGAGTCTTTCCTTCTTCACCAGTCTTTGGTGGAAGCATGCGGGCACCAGCCCCCTTACTCTGTTCCACTCTCAGATATGTGCCTGAGTTGTTTTCTATGCTGGGATGTGACTTTAATGAGAGGTTGGTGCTGCTGGCAACCAAACATGGATGCTTTGTCCAAAGACTGTATCTGGAAGAAATTTGTGGGAGGAAAGAATCTCTCGAGATTGGAGTAGCAGGCACAAGAAACCCCAAAGGCTGGCAGAATATCTGCCTGGGATGAACAGGGACTAAACTAGTGCAGAAAATTCCTTCTACCAAGGCCAGGTAGAGGAGGAGGAAGGGCACAAATCTATGGATAGACCTCCTTTCTGTTTCGCCTGCAAGGAGTCCAGGCTCAGTCTGGCAACATCTCTCATTAGCATTGTCTAAGATAACAGTGCTCAGAACGGCTGTGGTGAACCTTTGCTGTGATGCACAGTGCTGACTCAGATAGTTCGAGCAAGAAGAAAAGGACTTATTTCTAGAAAATGGCAAACATCCTTAGGCAGAGCACAGGCTTTTCTTGAAGAAGGCTGCCTGCGTTGAGCCCTGGTAATATCTCTACCTAAAGACACTTGGGTAGAAGTAATGTACAGAGGATGCACCAGTATTCTGATTCTGTTCAGTGCATTTTGTAGTGTCTGAAAAGATCTCTGGAAATCCTAAATTACTGCATCTGCAGCTCCCCTACCCTCAAATACTGAATCTTTACAGCATCTGCAAGGCCCTCCCTTCCGCTGAGCATGTTTGTGAAGCCATCTGGTGACTTCTGTTCCAGTGCTGGTTTAATGCGGCTCCTGGACCATATGCAGAAGTGTCATGTCCTTGGCTAAGCTAGCCTTCTGTTCCCTGGTGACCACCCAACTCCCCTTCTCTTCAGAGCCCTTTGCCTTTATGGGACTCCCACCCTTTTCCCAAACAACCAGCCTCTGCTTTGTAGATTCAGCGGTAACTCACATCCTCCTCCTCAGTGACAAGGGAGAATATACCACAAACAAACAAAGCAGCTTGGCTAAGATAAACATACAACTTATGCTCTTTACATGGCAAGTTCATTCTGTTTCTTCTAGGAACCCTACTGGGTGAGTGGTGCAGCTGTTCAAGTTGGGACTCCACAACAGCTATTAGGAGATTAAAACACCCTTGCTCAACTTTACTTAGGACTCTTGAAATGACCTGGAGCCAAGTTTGCCTTACCTGACAGCAGGGAATTATGAGCATCTGGGTCTGATCTTGGTAACAAGGCACAGCAGTAGTTGTTCCTAGAGCCTAACAACCACAGTACGCAACTGCGAATGCTTGATGTCACCCAAGCAAAAAAGGGCAGGAGCCAAACCTAGGAGCTGGCTCTAAGAAAAACACATTCTGTCATTCTGGATCAACCAAACACCTCTGGCCCCTGCCCTTAGTCACCCAAGCAGTTGAATACCCAGGACCTAAAGTGCATGGAGAAGCAGTGCAGGGAACTTGAATGGAGTGAGTGAGAGGCATGAAGGAACCTTGGGCAAGGGATTAGTCCTTTAAAACTTGTAGAGTGACACTAAAAGTAGTGTCTGCAAACAAGCAGAGCTGCTGTCTTCCACAACAAGCAGGTCAGAAAGTAGGCCTCCAATACAGGTGTGAGCATCCTAGAGGGTTAGGGGCTTCCCACCCTTTCTCTGAATCTACTCCTTTTCTATACCAAGCAATAGGCAGAATTCTCTGAGCAGTTCACAAAAGAGTTATTCTATGCTTCCCCCACTTCCATCTCTTTTCCCACTCTCCAATCTTGGTTTCTTTTTAATTTAAGGTAATATTTCTTCTTAACAACTTATGGTCACACTTTCCTGTGTAAGCTAGTAGTCCACAATGTGAAAGGCCACCATTTTAAACATCTGCATCCTGCTACTAGATGTGTATCGTTTTATTTTTCCCTTTCCTAGCATGGGAAAGCCCCAGATGTTTAGAAATCAAAAGCTTTTTGTTCTCTCCTTTCCACAGTATGAAATGCTTTGTGGGATCCTACTGGGTAATAAACTTATTTTATTTATCTGTTCCCCCCCCCCCACTCTTTCTCCAGTCGTCCTGCTAGACTTTGCCAAAGCACAAGGAGATCTAGGCTGGCTTAATCATCCCTATGGCAAAGGGGTAAGTCCAGGTTCCTATATACAAATGTTGTCCTAAAACTTTTTGGTATCTGAGGTAGAAAACTCAAACCTACACCTCTGCAGTCATAACAATAGAATTGATAATATGCTTCTGTTTTAATAGTGCTTCCAAATATTAAAAGGCAAACAAAGTGCCTCTCCTGCAACTTGGGAAATCTGACTGAATTATTTCATCCCCTGCTCCAAACGAGCAAGAGAGAAAATAAGCAATGGGGTGGAGGGGTGTGGAATAAATATTTATTTTTGAGTAAATATGCATGTGAAAACCCACAAAACTGTACTATGCTAGCTTAATTGCTGTGACTTTTAAAAGGATTAAAGTATTAGTAGAAGAAAGTAGCCTTGATAAGCTGAGTAAAATATCAATGTGCAGCCAGTATATCTTGGAGTAACTGATGCTTAGAACAGCCAGTGGAAGAACTCACTTATTTTCATATCTTGTTCCTTGGTTTAGCTGACTAGCTGTAATTGAAAACATGATAGTGGAAGAGATGGACACAATGATCAATATGTTTTTATCATATGCTTTAACTGACATTTTACTTTTAAGCTGTATTTTATTATTAAAATGTATGGCATTGAGTGCCATTTTTGTGGAAAGGTGAGATAAAATTAATTAATAAATGGCATTTGAACCTGTGCCCTGTTTCTAGCTATAATGGTATATGGGCACTACTGAACCTATTCCTTAAAAGCCATTTTTGCTAGTTCCTAATGTTGCTTCCAGTGAGTTCCACAAGCTGCTTGTGCTCTGTGTGAAGAAACTGATCCTTTAGTGATGTTACATTGCTTGTCCCTCTGCCAGTGGGATCTTCTCCAAAATGTTATGGATGAGTCTCTCATCTACATCTATTCAGTCTGCAATGTTATGAATGGTGATCAGGACAACTGGCTGCGCACCAACTGGATCTACCGCAGTGAAGCCCAGCGCATCTTCATTGAGCTCAAGTTCACGGTCCGAGATTGCAACAGCTTCCCTAACGGGAAGGGGACATGCAAGGAGACTTTCAACCTCTATTACGCCGAGTCAGATGTGGATTATGGCATCAATTTCCAGAAGCGTCAGTTCCGCAAGATTGACACCATTGCCCCAGACGAGATCACTGTACTTGAAGACTTTGAAACCCGCAACGTTAAGATCAACGTGGAGGTTCGCTCGGTGGGGCCTCTCACCCGCAAGGGCTTCTATCTGGCCTTTCAGGACATTGGGGCTTGTGTGGCCCTCCTGTCAGTCCGGATTTACTACAAGAAGTGCCCTGAAGTCTTCCGCAACATGGCAAGTTTCCCTGAGACCATTGCTGGTGCTGATTCGCAGGATTTAGCTAAGGTGCATGGGACTTGCGTGCCAGATGCGGTGGCCAGTGAGGAGCCATTCATGCACTGCAATTCAGATGGGGAATGGCTGGTGTCTATCGGTGAATGCCTTTGTCGTGCAGGGTATGAGAAGAATGGGAACAGCTGCAGAGGTAACTACTTTTATTTGTGTGTTGCTAAATCTTTGGTCTGCTTTATCCCAGAATTCAGTGAAAAAAAGAGTCACAGCCTAGTCAATGAGCTACCCATGCATGTGAAAAGTGGAACTCATGTTAGTCCATGTTCTCTTCATCCTAGCCATTTAAAGCCACATCAAACAGAGTCTCCTGGTACATTTGGAAAGCATTATGGGCAGGTTCTGACTTTTGTGCTACACTTTTTTTAGAGTGGGTTCTCCAGCTTTGATTGTAACAGCAGGGATGGGAGATCCGTTACTGAAGGGTTAGTCTCCAGTAGGCAGGAATGAAGAGCAACATCTCCTTCTCCATTCTTCCATTAAGCGTAAGCAGGGCATGGTCCTCACTCTTCTCTTTCAGAGTGCCCTCTCCAGTCGGCTACTCCACCACTGGCACAGCCTCCTTCAGAGCTCCTGATCCAGCCTCCCCTTACTTTTCATGAAGGACATCTTCTCATTCCTTTGCTCCCTAATGAATATCAGGAAGCCCTGACTCTGCCTCTTTTGCTTGGCTAGATATGCATCAGAATATCATCATCATCTAACACCTCCCACTATTACTTGGATCATTTTATGACACGGTGTTCATAAACAGGCCAAGAACCCAGCCCTCTTCTCCCCACCACCATTCCAGCCAGAATACTTAGCAAGGATATCTCCACAGACACTGGTTCTCTGTCCTGTCTGAATGGTGGCATTGTGTCCGTTAAAATGTGTGTGTGTGTGTGTGTGTGTGTGTGTGTGTGAGAGAGAGAGAGAGAGAGCGAGCGAGCGAGCGAGCATGTGAATATACGGTCTGGGTACGGACCCTGTTGACTGATAATCACCCTCATTAAACCAGACAAGTTGTTGGGGCCATGAATGGAAAGGGCTGACATGTCCCATTGTCCCATTCAGCTTCGCTCTCCTGGCTGTCTCCTTGCTCCAACAGACTTGATTCATGGCTGCTTAAACGGTTTGCTCTGTACTCTAGAAGCATCCTTTTCTGTCCTTTGGATCCTCCTTCACTAGCCATGACACCAAGTTCCTGGAGATGAAAAACTTGACAAGGAAAATTCTGCTTCTCAAGCTAAGATCAATTAGCAGTGAAATTCTCCACCAGTTTGGGTCACCCATGTGACTCACATTTCACCTGGTAAGGAGCTCTGTGTAACTCAAGCTTACCTACCCTGAGCTTTCAAAAGCACCATTGCTCATGTGAGGTTTGAAAAGGTGCCCCTTGAGTCTGCTGGGTGTATAGGTCTCCGTGAACCTAGTTAGCTTTAAAAAGAATAGTTGCCTGCTCTCTTGCTGCCTTCTGGGGTATGCAGCATGTCTGCCTGCACACTGTGCCCAACTATTAGACCCTTGCTGCGCTTGTAGCTTGTATCACATGGAAGCTGTGGGATCCTCAGTGGTGTCCAACAGGACTTCCATCTTTCAGGGTTGAGGCACACAAGGAAAAAATTGCTGCTAGCTGATGAACACCTCTCACAATTGAATTGTGTGGTAAAGTCAGCTGCCTTCCTCCCCCCAGCCCCCTGGATTCCTGGAAAGTACCTCTGCTCCAGCAGAAGCCTCCTGCCATGCTAGGTGCTGTTCAGTGCAGACTAAAGCAGTGCCAGCAATGGCATATTATTTTGTTGGGTTCAAGAGAAAGTAATATTAGAACAAGGGGAGATGCTGGAGTCCGGATATTCTCCATTATGTGTAAGGGAAAGAGGGTAAGCTTTTGTTGGCCACCCCTAACTGCACCCTGCCATGTGCTGTTAGGTTTGCTACTGCCCTCGCTCCCCAGCCACTTAAGTTAGATGCAGCAGCTTCCTCCAGCAGAAGAAGGGGCGGAAAAAGGAATTTGCCCTTTTGTGTAAAGATACTCTGACCTCCCATCCCTCTGGCCTCTGAGAAAAGGGAGGCCCATGTGCAGGAAACAAAGGCAGTTTATCTCCAGGAATAAACACAGATACTCTTGGCTTCCTGTGCACAGCCCCCCCTCCTTTTAACCTCCACTGCCAGGTTTTCCACTGCCACCAGCCATCTCCTCCCTCCCTTGCTGTTTTGCCTCTCCCTGTGTTGGCCTTCAGAGAGAGACACCAAAGGGAATTCTTTCCCTTGCAACCCAGATACCAGCCTCCAAAAAACCTGCTCTTCTGTCACTCCCCCTCTCCGCATGGCACCCTTTCGCATGCATCTCATTCTGCTGCATAGTTGTGTGGAAAGCTCAAGGCCAGGGGGGGGAATGGGCACCAATTGGTAGCCATGTGGCATAATATCCAGAAGCTGGACTACTGAACATGATCAGATCCCATGCACATGCACTAACTTTCCAACTGTTGGGATGCATATTTTTGCATTTATATTTTTAGCTGGGTGCAACTTTTGATTTGAAAAGCCTGCCTCTCAATTGATTGGTTGTCAGATTACTTTTAAAAATACAAACACATGCATTTATTAAAAACTGCAAATGGTACAAACCAATTTTAAGAGACATTCTCCATTCTCACAAACAACAGGGAATGCTTCTTCTAGGAGAACAGGTACCAGTATGATATGCATCTATGCATCATCTAAAAGCAGAGAGTATGTTGCATGCTTCAAAACTATCATGTTGACCCATATGGAAATTTAATAATCAATTCCTATGATTGATTACAATTTAATTAGGTTTTTTTTCATTCTTGACTAATTATAATTTTAAATAGTCATGGACTATTCACAGAAAGATACCTCATAAAGAGGAAGGAAATATTCAGCCTATGACTGCTGCCCTGTCCCATAGATTTCCTTCTTTGATGCTGGACTACAGAGTATAAGAACTCCCTGTCCCAGCATGCTCTACTCAAGTGACCGAGGAGGAAGGTTGTTCTGATTCAAGTTACTCCAGTGAAGAAACTTTGTCGGGAGAACTGAACCTGCACAGGTTTTGGATTGCCCTGGGCAGCATCCTAGTTACCTCCTCATCAGCATCAGCACTACCACTCCCTGTTAATACCAGGAAAGCAGCTGCTGGCACACCTGTCTAGAGGAGCCCAGGGGAGAGTTTCGACATGCCTGTGAATTGCATGCAGCCCTTAAAGCATGAAAGCAAATCTCTGCCAGGGATAGTTTTTTTATCTTTTGGGATGGGGGCTTCTGACTTCTCAAATCAGAATGGCATTTTCAAACTTAGTTGGATGATGGGTAGGTAATGCTCCGGTGCCTCCACAACCCAGATGTGCAGGACTTTTCCTCCTTTTGGTGTTTCCCCCTTTCTCCACTGCCCAAGTGATGTGTACTAGCTGAGCACTCCCTGTAATGATACTCATTATGGAGAACCGGGGGGGGGGGGGGAGAGAAAGAACACATCTTTCTTCCACTGCTGCCTCCACCTGCATTCCTGGCTGAAAACTACAAAGGAGCATGAGATTCTGTGTCAGGCCATCTTATTTATAGGTTGTTTTGGACCCCCATGGACTGTCTCCATGTGATATATTGTGTATTTCCTAATTTCCCAGTTGTATCATGTTTGACAAGAAAACGACAGCCTTTACTAGATGCATAGTTTTATAAAGAGAGATCCTAGGGCCCAAGCATACCAGCAAGCCACCCCATCTCCACTTCCATTTGGGAGGGGATTTGGGCCAAAGGTAGGGCTCCTACTTTGCACGTAGAAGCACCCGAGTTCAATCCTCTGTATCTCCAGGTAGAGCTAGGAAAGGCACAGGCATGTAATCCTGAAGAGCCACTGCCATTCAGTACAATGCTGAGCAATATGGACCGATGGCCTGACTCAGTATAGCGCAGCTTCCTATGCATTTCAGATTACTTCATGGTGAAATGCTGCAAATGTTCTAAGGGACCCTACTTTAATTTACTAGACTAATACTCCATTGCCCTATTTAAACTCTTCTTTCATTGTAAACTTCTAAATTTCTGTTTGGGAGGGAGGTATAAGTCATTTTAATTCAAAGACTAAACTCAGGTGGGAAAATTGACTATTATCTTGGCAATACGAGCCTCACACAAATCTCTGGTGTTCAGCATTTTTCCTCACAAAACCTTTTTCTGGAGCAAGTTGCATGGAGTTCCCATCATTGCCACCCATGCATCTTTTCTTTTCTCCTTTTCTTTTCTCTTTTCTTGGGAAGCCCATAGCAGGAACATCCTCTGGGCACCAGATGCTTCCTCCTCTGCCTGCTTTCAGTAACATGACAGTTCTGTATTCACTTTGTTTCTAAGAAAGTTGAAGACCACACACAAAAAATATTGATCGAACTTTAGGGTGGGGATGCTTTCTGGAAAAGGAGCTTTCAAGAAGCAGACCCTCTTTTTGCCATTTAACAACCCAGATGTATGTTTAAAAAAAACTAAACAAATTGAAACAAAAAGCTTCTGAGTGGCAGTAAAGTCCCAACTGGAGCAGGATTCCAAAGCACAGAAAAGGTTCCCAATGATTAGAGCTGCTAAGTTCATGGAGTAAATTGTGCATGGCTTCTGTGCTGTGGCCTCTGGCGTGACCCAGTAGAGTCAGGAAAGAGGGGACTGCTGCAGCTAGACAGGGGTGGTACAGGGCTCTGTCTCAAGTCAAACAAAACAAAAACAAGAAGGCTGTGTGTGGGGTTTTCTTTGCACATTCTGGCCCTGAGGTGCTTGGGAATCTGGCATGACCCCCCCCCCCCACACACACACACATTTACTTGGCCTAATGACTTTGGATCAGCAACTCCCCTTGCAGAGTATAGCTCAGCTCATTCATTTCTGCATTACTCAGAGGACTAAGATGCCTCCTTGCTGACAGGCCAAGGCTTTAGCTTGTGGAGCTATGGCTCTAGTGTTTTAGAGTGGAGTGCAGAGTGCTTGTAGGGTGTCGCTGACCAAAGAGAAATCCTCTTGCTGCTGGCTTAGGAAGAGAAAATCTCAGGTGGGTTAAGGCGTGTAGAATCAAAATGAGAGCCATGGACTTTTGAAACATCTTCCTTCGTGGATCCCTCAAGGAAATGACATGATCCATTGGGCTTTGGGTAGAAAATCCGGTTCCTATGGAAGAGTTTGCTCATTCAGGAAATAAGCATGAAAAACTGACCTGGGTGTGGATGTAGGCAGAACTGTATTTTCCTCCGAAGTCCATTCTCCTCCACCATAATGTACATTATGTAATGTGCCTATGCCTATGGCACAAGTTATGAAACTGCAGCAGGCAGAAGCACTTATCTCTGCTTGTTTATCCTCAGACGGTTCTTACTGTGTTTTTAATAGAACAGTAGCAAACGCGTAAATATGGAGTGTGTGTCAAATTGCAATGCACACAGTTCACTTGACAAGAATAAAGTTGCAATTGCAAATAATTTGATTCCTACTTTTTCATTTTTAAAGCTCAGAATGCAATTTTGAAGATCAGTGCCTCAAAGCATGTGCAAACCTTGCTTTCTCCCTGCAAGTAATTTTTAATTTTTAAAGCACTTCATGATCTTTCTAGGTCTTGCCTTTCACTTAAGTCCTTGCCGAGGCCAAGAGAAAGTTGTTTGTTTATATCATCTACGAGTTAGTAGCCGTATCGTGATTTGAATCTGGGGCTTGTGTGTAAATGGTGTATTTCCTCCACTGGCCGACACTGTCTGTTGCTAATTTGAATTACGGTTATGAAGCCCAGGAGGCCTAACTAATTCATCCTCTTTGTTCTCCCCTTTGCAGCTTGTTCAGCAGGGTTCTTCAAAGAGGATATCTCCAATAATGCCTGTTTAAAATGTCCTTTGCACACACTGCCCTCTTCTGAAGGTTCTACTTCATGTCCTTGTGAGAGAGACTATTTTCGGGCCCCGAGTGATCCTGTTTCCATGCCATGCACACGTAAGTGAGAAATGTAAATGGCATTCTTGCCCATGTCTCGGGGAACATGGCTATTCATTGCTGCTTTGAATGCTCTGTTCTGCTGAGCTGATGATGCTTAATCAAACTGTTTAGCCACTTTAAGTAGCTTTAGCTTTGTGGAAACCACAAGCGTGTTTATTTCACAGCTGACAATATAAAGAGATAATACATACACACAGAGAACAGACCTGTTGATGCTTATTCGCTCTGATGTATGAATTGGAGCCTCCATGTTTAGTCTAGTTTATCAATATTTATTGGAAAGATGCTGGAAACAAGTAATGAGGGACAGCTATTGCCATTTTGCTCCTTGTGTACTGATCATCAGAGGGGAAGGCAGGAACTGGTGGTGGCATCAGGCTGCCTTCTGGGCAAGCAAAGGACTTTTGTGAGGAAAAGAAGGCCAGAAGAGATGGAGGAAAGGGACTACGAAGAGCACTGTAAGGATGTAGGCAGAGGAAAACCAGGGAGAAATTCAAAGAATGGCAACCAAGAGACAGGAGAGCAAAGTAAACCTGTGGAAACAGATACCTAGCTGAGGAATGGTCTTCCACCCTGCATCAAAGAGGCCTGAGTATTTTTAAAGTTAACACTTCTTGCTTTCTGTCCTGCAGAGCCCCCTTCTGCTCCCCACAGTGTCACAGCCATCGGTTTGGGTGCCAAAGTGCAATTGCGTTGGTCCCCACCCCAGAACACAGGAGGGCGTGAGGACATAACGTACAGCGTGTCGTGTGAGCAGTGCTGGCCAGAATCGGGGGAATGCCGCCCCTGCGATGCCACTCTCCGATATTCAGATAACCCCCACAACCTGGCTGGGACCTCCTTGACCATCCATGACCTGGAGCCCCATGTTAACTACACCTTCACTGTAGAGGCTCAGAATGGAGTGTCCTCCTTCAGTACACAGCGTTCCTATGGCATCGCCAGCATCAGTGTCAACCAAACAGGTAATGACCAGAGGAAAGTGATTCAGGAGTGCTGTTCAGTTATGCAAACAATGTATGTTCATAAAATTGTTCTTCTAAGGGCTCTTGGTTTCCTTCCTTGCTTGTGGGATGTTTAGTGGGTCACTGGACTTGTCTTGGTCTAATCCAGCACAGCTGCTTGTTCATACAATACAGCAGTGAAGGTGCTGTAATATGTTCTTCTGTTTTTGGTCTCTAAAAACAACAATGAACTGGTGGGACCGATGTGTAAAGGTGGTCTTGGGCTTCTCTCTGGAAAATTATCCATAAGGGATGTTCACCACCTGTGGCAATCTGTTTAATGGACTACAACACCTCCTTACTGACAAGACAAGACTTTGGAGTCTGACAATTCAATATGGATGCATGGTTATTAACAAGTAATTAGAACAATTCAGGTAACCCAGCAAAGACAATCGGGTTGCTACAGAAGGTTTAACACATTGCATGTTGACCTCATAAAGTCACTTTCTTTTCCCCCACTGTGCAGAACCACCCCGAGTTACATCAGTGACAATGGACAGCCGTACAGCCACCAGTCTGACTCTCTCCTGGACAGTTCCTCCCCGACAACAGAGCCATGTCTGGAAATACCAGGTCACTTACAAAAAGAAGGTATGTCCTCTCTCATTGTGACACTTTACTGCTCTTAACCTCATTTGCTCTGAGGGGCTCTACCTTTCCCATACCAATGGTGAAATTTCAAAAGGGAAACTCAATCATACAGGTTTCCGCATTCTTTTTTGCAGAAGGATGAAAACAGCTACTCAGTGCTGCGCTGCGAAGGGAACTCCGTGACCCTGCCAAAGCTCACCCCTAGTACCAAGTACTTGGTGAGCGTGCAAGCATTGACCCAGGAGGGCCATGGAGCCCACAGTGTGGAGCATGAGTTTGAGACACTTGCTGAACGTGAGTCCTTGGGAAGGGAAATTAACATGGCGCCAGGGACAGTAAATTTAGGGAATGGGGAATGCAGGCAGATTCACCAGAAGATAACCCAGCTGTTCTGGCAATATCTGACTTTTTGGAAAGAAGCATTTTCCATGCCAGCATTTGCCACTTTCCTCCACAGACTCTGATGGCATGAATACTGCTGCACTCCTCGGAGGTTCCATTGCTGGCTGCATCTTCATGGCTGTCTTGGTTGTGGCACTTGTCCTGTTTATTCAACGGAGGTATGCCTTTTATTTTTAAATGCTATTTGTCTGAAGCTGGAAAATAGTTGGAAGAGCTGGATGTTGTGAGAGACTTTGCTTCCCATGGCATTCATACGAGTGGTTCTTCTGACCTCACTGTTTCCAATCTTAAAAGACTCTGCCAGTTTTGAAACAATACTGCACCCTGTTCTTAGAGATGCAAAAGTGGGATGAGCGTACATGCTTCCAAAGTGCTTTCAGAATGTTATCTCCACTTCCCTTTCTTGTTGGGGTTTCCTCTGCTGAAAGGTGGCAAGAAGACTGAAGGAGCAGGGGTGTTGCAATTGTTCTTCATTTAGTGTATGGAAATGTAACATTCAGTTTCTAGCACCAGGTGTCTGAGGACACTGTCAAACTAGAACCAACTTTTTAGACTTCAGAAAGTTTCCCACTAGTTTAATTTCTCTTAGGTATTAAAAATGCAATGACTCAAGCAGCATGTTTCCTTTCAGCTTCTGATAGTAGTCTTTGAGTTTTGAAGCAATGAATCTGCACTTTTGCACATAGATGTGTGCAGTGCAGTGTGTCAACGCTGAGGAGTGCATGGCCTTAAGATGAAATTGTGAAGTATCTGAAGTTACGTGTTCCCTTCACCCCAGAGACTGATAAAAGAAACTCTTAAGGTGTGCACACTACATTAGTTACCTTACACACACTTAGAAGGTGTGGGAGGAAGAGTGGGAGAAAGCTTATCGAGAATGCTTCTACAAACCAACTGCAGGGAAGTTTGTGTCTCTTGAAGCAAGTATTCCATGGAACAAAATAAACATTGCACCATCTCTCAAGAGTTCTCAATACACCCTTCACTGTCATTCAGGAAGAAGAAACTGAGAACCCGGCAAACATCAGAGGATGTTTACTTCTCAAAGTCTGGTGAGTTAACAGTCATTGGCTTGTAGCCTGCACAATGGAGTTTGCCAAATTCAGGATGCCGCATAGACCAGGAAGATCCAAACGCCAAAGTATGCTGTTTAGTTCAGTGTTAGCTACAGGAAAGCTTAAAATTGGCATCTTGTGCCATCCCTAGTGCCACAAAGGTGGAATAAATAAAGTGCGGGTGAGACTTGAAAGGTAGAGCCTGGGGATGGACGTCCTTTATGAGAGTTTTCTCTTACTGCATTGGCCCATGTTATCAACTTTTCACTACACAGACCAGCTCAAGCCCCTGAAGACTTATGTTGACCCCCACACTTACGAGGACCCAAACCAGGCTGTGTTGAAATTCACAACTGAGATTCATCCCTCATGCATCTCCCAGCAGAAGGTGATTGGAGCAGGTAGGATACATCTTAATATCTCATGCTGTGGTTGACTGATGGGGACGGGAGAAGGGGGGGTGTTCTGCCGGTACAGTTGTTTTGCATCAAAATTGAGAAAGGAGGAAGGAGAAAGATGACTTCAGTGCTTGGGCTAAAGCCACCACCATCCATTTCTTTGGAAATACTATCTTAATTCTTCTGCTTGGATTCTACAGGAGAATTTGGAGAAGTCTACAAGGGCACCTTGAGAAATGGCAAAAAAGAGATTCCAGTAGCCATAAAGACATTAAAATCAGGCTACACAGAGAAGCAGCGCATTGACTTCCTGACTGAGGCAAGCATCATGGGCCAGTTTTGCCATCACAACATCATCCACTTGGAGGGAGTCATCTCCAAATGTAAGACTCACTAAATGGAAGAGGCTTGGCAGCCATTGCTGTGTTCCACTTCCACCTGTTTCTCTACCGGGGCTGCACATGCTCCATGAGATCAACCTCTGGGAAACTATAGCACCACTTAGATCCTGCTTGGATTTCAGGCCAATTTTCTCTTCTGTTTCCAGATAAACCTTTCATGATCATCACAGAGTACATGGAGAATGGTGCTTTGGATAAATTCTTACGGGTAAGTGCAGTTCTTCTCTCTGCCAGCCCTCATGTGCATGCGAGTGAGCTAAACTCAGCTCTATTCATTCATTGGGTCAGCTGTTCCAGATTCCCAAAACACTCCTGACACATGCCTGCCTGCCTGCCTATGCTCACCCTGAAATTCCTTTGCATAGGAGTTAGGAACATATTTTGTGCTGGTTGTGACTTGCTGAAAGTGCACCTCCTAATGTTTAAGTTGTAAGGTCCTCAATCTTTACCTTCTTGTCTTAACAGGAAAAGGATGGGGAGTTTTGTGTCATTCAGCTGGTAGGCATGTTGAGAGGTATTGCATCCGGTATGAAGTACTTGGCCAGCATGAATTACGTCCACCGAGATTTGGCTGCCCGCAATATCCTTGTTGACAGCCAGCTGGTCTGCAAGGTATCTGACTTTGGTCTTTCTCGTGTCCTGGAAGATGACCCTGATGCAACCTACACCACTAGTGTAAGTGAATCCCACATTGTTGTGCCACACAAGTTTTCATTGTGTCCCTGCATTCCACGAGAAGCTACAGAGAGTGAAAAAGGGAATCCGTCTTTGCCCTCTATTTTAAAGGAACATGATGGTTATTATGGTTGAATAAATTACTACAGGAAAAAGAAATGAGTGTGCTACGAGGGAGGGAGGAACTTTTAACTAGTTTGCAAGCCCATATCCTCCAGCAAAAGGAACTCTGATTAAGAGCCCAGAATAGTAAGGAGTTGATTGTATCCAACCATCAACCCAGTCTTGAGAAACACCTCTTACAAGTCAGGTGCCTTGTCTGAAACCAATTGTTCTGATATTTGTTTGTTTTTTGTCCACTGCAGGGGGGGAAAATCCCCATACGATGGACAGCTCCTGAGGCTATTTCTCATCGCAAGTTCACCTCAGCCAGTGATGTCTGGAGCTATGGAATCGTTATGTGGGAAGTAATGTCTTATGGTGAACGACCTTACTGGGAGCTGTCCAACCATGAAGTAAGCTCTTGGAAGCCCTCAAGTGGGTGCTATATGGGGGGTGGATGGTGTCTATATTGGTGACCAAAATACATCTGGATTCCTTAATTTAGTATTTTCCTGGCCTATGAGGAAGAAAGGTAATTCTAAGAAATGTGACCTCAGTTCTAGAAAGCAAACAGAGTTCAAGCAGGTCCATCCAAGATCCAAATCCAAATTAATTTTGTTGAAGTGAAGGTATTTTCCTCTCATCAATATGGTGAGTGGTCTTCTAATGAGGGTTGTGATCACCCATCAATCTTTCTAGAAAGTCATCTGTCCCTCCACCCACTTGTCTCTGGTTGGAGCTCAGGTGCAAAGATTAGCAGAGTATGTTGACAGTCATTATTCTTCACATAAGGTTGTAGCTGGAGAGTATGGCTTGAGCACTTTGATGGTACTTTTGTGCCGTCATAAGAGACAGGTGCTTTTTCCAGGAGTACCCTGCTGAATTATCTGCCTGTTCCTCCATTTTCTGGTACTTTCCTTCCTGCAGGTGATGAAAGCAATTAATGAAGGCTTCCGGCTTCCTGCACCTTTGGACTGTCCTTCTGCCATCTATCAACTGATGCTGCGGTGCTGGCAACAGGAACGAAGCCACCGGCCCAAGTTCACTGATATTGTTAGCATCTTGGACAAACTTATCCGTTCTCCCGAATCTCTCAAGACTTTGGCTGAATTTGACCCTCGGTAGGTGTGGTCTCATGTACTATGAGCAGAACACTCTCCTCTCAATCTTTCAACTACTTGCTACAGTTTGGACAGATTCCTGTGCTTCTTTTCTTCCTGTAGAAACAGGACCAGGAACAACCTGCTAGCTGGTAGTTCTCCAAAGTTATTTTCAACCACTTGCCATCCTCCCCCAGCTTTTAGAAAGGACCTAAGTCTGAAGAGCTGGTGGTCCCTTTTTTGTCTTTGAAGGATCTCCATTCGCCTACCTAGCACCAGTGGCTCAGAAGGGATCCCTTTCCGAACTGTGGCTGAGTGGCTGGAGTCCATCAAAATGCATCAATATACAGAGCACTTCATGGCCGCTGGGTATAATGTCATTGAGAAGGTGGCGCAGATGACCAATGAGTGAGTGAGGCTAACAGATAATATGCCGTAGGCAACTTTCACATTCTTCTTCCAACATGTGCCAGCTGAGCAAGCTTTCTCCTTCTGTCACTATCTTGTGCTGCTTCTTTTGAAATCTTCTGAGAAATGAGGTGGCTGGAATTCATACTCCTCTTTAAAAGGATTCCAGAGTTAGTTGGCTATTAACATTAGGTTCCACTTGACCCCTTCCCTGTTTGCAGTGGAAAGAGATGTCCTCTTTGCTTTCTAGAGAACCTCCTAAGCTACCTGCCTCTGTTTTCCATCTCTATCAATGAATATGTTAATACCCTGCTTTTCTTAATAAAATAAACTCTAAGAGGCTATCAATGTGAGCATCTTCTCTTAATATTGGCAGTGTATGGGTGGTTCTCTCAGAAACATATGACAAAGCTCATTTGCTCCCTCTTGTTGTTTTCCCCTCTTAGGAAAGGCTAATTATAGGCATGCACCCTATAATTATGGGGCCAGGCAAACCAGGAGTAGCTTTTCAAATGTACAGAATGCATAGACTCCTTGAATCACTGCAAAAAGAGTCCACACAAGGATTGTTGGGAACCTTTCCATGAAGTTCAAACTGTGGCTTTTCATATCTTGCTGGGGTGCCTTTTTATTATATTTTCTTATTTACTAAATCTGAAGACAGTAAATATAAAAGATGTGTGTGGGGAGTGAAAGGAGATGGGATGAATGTTGAGGAGAGACTTAACTCAAGTTTCCCTCCTAATATTGCAATACAATATCTGCCTTTTCTTCCCATGTCTAGTGATATCAAGAGAATTGGAGTGCGTCTGCCAGGACACCAGAAACGCATTGCTTACAGCCTCCTAGGATTGAAGGAACAAGTCAGCACCATTGGCATTCCGATCTGAGACAGACAAATTTTACCACAGTCAAGTAGCTCTATCACCCAATTGAGCTTCATGTTAGCCAAGCAAAGAACCGTTTGGCAAACATACCTCCTGGTATATACTTGAAGTGGAGAATCCAAATGACCTCTCTTGCCAAGGGTGCCAGTCACAAAGAAGAGTTGAAGGCCTGCTTTTCCTCTCCTGCGTTTCCTGAGCATTGCTCCATATTTATTAACTGCCCTTTGTTCTCTCATCTCCTATAAATGACAACTACTACCTTGTGGTGTTGGGAGTCAGCAACATGAGGGGACAGATGGTGCTGCACACCCTGGCTAAGCAAAACTGCCAAAAGCCACATTTCATTTCTCCTGCCGAACTCCCAGCAAAATCATAGTGCCATCCCCTTCCTGCCATGTTACTTTATACATTTGCAGCTTGGACAATGTTGACCAAAGCAGTATACAGCTATTTGTTACATTGCCAGTGCATTCAAACTGTTTCTTAGAAAACTGCTAATCCACTGGTCTGTTTATTTTCACATTCAGAAGCCTGGGGGGGGGGGGGGGGGGAGAGAAATCACAATGCTGTTGCTACAGGTGTGTATTGGCTCTTTAAATGAGCGTGAAGATGGGAAACTCTATAAATACCGCTTGGCTTTAAAGCCAAAACTGACTTGGATAGGACTTTGGATATTTTGAAGATTAAGCAAGCATTGCTGGAACTATGGAATACCAGGCTCTTGGTCTGCATTTCTCAGTTTAGGCACTGAAGGCCTTTTCCTTTATCTTTTTACTTTAAAAAAAAAAACTCAACTTGGCTGTATCAAAAATAAGATCATAGATGGACTCTGCTCTGGCATTTGTAAGTTTCAGCTTCAAAGAGGTTTTACCAAGGAAGACTGAAAATTACTTTCCACAGAATGATCACATTGTTTCCTGGCCCCTATTTATTTATCTTTTCCAATTCCTGCCCCTCCTCCCCATTCCTGAAATGCACTCTTGACTTAATGACAACTGTTTTTCCGTCATGTAATTACTTTCCTTTTTTAATTTGTATTTATTTTTATATTTATTGTTTTAAAAATTGAGACTTGTTGCTGTTAAGGATAATCGTGCACAATTTAAACAAAACTGTAGGTTTTTGTGTGCATGAATATTCTCTAGCTTTAATAAAATGTTTTTATTCTTTGCTACTATGTAAAAATGAATTATAGGGAACAAGGCAGAAGCACTTCATTTCCCTTAAGAAGTCAGGTGATTGCCACTGTTAGCAGCCTCATGCTCAGCTTCTAGGAAGTTCTCAATTCAAGTCTTTCCTTGGGCTTTTTCCTTTTTCAGTGCAAAGCAAGTGAAAGCATAGGACCAGAATTCAGTCTGCTTCCTGAGTGGCAGGAGATTCAGGCTATATGAAAAAACAGCTATTTTCATAAAATGCATAATGTAACAAGGCTTGCTATCATATAATAGGCTTATGCCTCCCCAACCCTAACCCTTAGCTGACTTTACCAAAAGGATTAGACAAATGCACAGACAACCTCCATCCAATCTAGCAGTGCTTCTCTTTTTTATTCTGGCACTCTTCTAAACTGTAATCCATGGAAACTAGCAAGCCTTAATAACACTGGTTAATTTGGACTTAAAAGCAGAATCCTCTGGGAATCTATTTTTAAAACATTCCCAGCAATGTTCCACTTTTCTTCCTCCCTCCTCCTGCTCTCTCACTCACGGTTTCTGCATTTGTCTATGTCATAGTTAGATCAGCCTTCCAATCTCTGGGAACATCAGAAGCCGCCTTTAGATAGAGTCAAATCCTACTCAGGCCATCAATCTAAATGTTGTTGATGCTGACTGGCAGAAGTAGGTCTCCGGGGCATCAGGTAGGGGGTCTTTCCCTACCTGGAGACATTGAAGATTCACATTGGGATAGTCTGCATGCAAAGCAGGGGCGCTAACACTGTCACATGGCCCCTTTGAATGACAGGTCCTGAGCGGAATTTAAAAAGGGGGCAGGGGTGGGGGGAAGAGGGGAGAGAGAGAAAAACAAACAACAGCTGGAGATGGCCATGCTCAGAAATATGTCAGAGTGGAACCCTTCAGGGTGAAGCTGGCTCATGGGGGGAAGAAATTGTGCCTTTGAATTTCTCTCCAATATACAAGGAGTATCTGCAGACAGAAAACTAGTCAGGCTGGAACCCTCTGTCCTAACATGACCACCTTTCTACATGAGAGTGCTTTTGAGAGGAGGCTGTGCTTAAGTAATTTCTAGCACAATCACGCCACTCTGCCCACCCCTCACTACATCAGACCATGCATATGTTAAACCTCTGCCACTCTCTACAGAGCTACCTTACAATACTAACATTTCCCCAGTGCATGACAATATCAGTCTTCATAAGCATTAATGTTTTACTTCTGCAGTGAATGCCAACCCCAGAAGGAAAAAGATGGCAAGCCTGATGAAGCAAGGCAGTGGATACTAAGCAGCCTGGATACTAAGAAATAAATTAGTTCCAGATCTTTCTCTGGAGGAACATGGCAGTAGCACAAACCATGTCATGCAGTTTGTCCTCCGTCTACAGTGCCAAGTGGGAACAAGCCTCTTCTTGGCTAAGTTGAGGCTGCTGAGCCGGTCTTGAGCTTGTTTGCTGGATTTTTAAGAGGTGGTTTAGCCAACTGAGTTGGTGGTGTGTGACTTTTTTGGTGATAGCAAAGCCTTGGGGCATCCAGGGAATGAAAGCTTCTTTGCAAAGCGCTCAAAAGTCTCAGGGCCTAGCTGGGAACAGGAAGGCAAACGTAGTACGGACAGTGTCCTGGAGTGCCCCAAGCCATAGGAAGCTGCCTTATGCCAGGTCATACTGCCCTCTCCTAAGAGTGTCATCTTTGACTGGCCACAGACCCTCAGGAGCTCATAAAAAATGGCCTTTCTCATCACCTGCCACCTAGTTCCCTTAATGAAATACCAAGGACTGAACCTGGGACTTTCTGCATGTGAAACAGACCCTATTGCTGAACTAGGATCACCTCCCTGAGGGAGACAACCAAACTGTGGGAGGGGTTTATTTTTTTAAAATCAATGAGGAAACAGAAGAAAGGCAAAGGTTTGACAAGCTAATTGAATGGACCCGGGGGCCTAGGAAGCTCACAGGTTGCCCAGAGAAGAGCAAATGTCTCTCTTTCAGGAGACATTTTCCTCCTAGAACAACTGCATGTATCGCATTCCCACACTTCCATGCAACTCTTCCAGGTAAGACTCTTCTTTTAGATTTGATGGCCTCTCTTTGACTACAGGGGTTAATACCTCAACTGAAACCCACCTCCTCTCTACTCACTTTCCTCTCTTAATCTTCTTTCCATCCTTGGCAGCCCAGAGACCCTTCCACCTTCCCCATTTTACAGAGCTAACAAAATAGTATTGGTAGCTTTTAATCATGCGCTAAGCATCTTCACTTGGGAAAGGTCATGACAAGCTGCTTGCGGTTCTTCCATGTTGGTACATATTCCCATATCAATACTGTCAGTTGGTGTTTCAACAAAACCTCCTGCTGGAGCCAAAACAAATATTTGGGTTAAAGAATGCACGAACGGACTCAAAGGCCTCCCTGAGGGCCTGCACCCTATCTAAAAATAATAAGCTCCAAGCTGTAGTGGGTCTGTTTTGCTTCATCCCTACTAGATTAAGCAGCAGATCTGGCAGGGGGATGCAGCTACTCACAGTCAGCAGGGGCAGTGATTGTTCTCTTGTGAATTTAGAAATGCCGGTTTCTCTCTGATCTACTCAGCCTGCCAAGCTAGAAGGGATGCATAGGACTGAAGTTGTGGGTTCTCATTGGTAATTTAGTGGGACATGGCAGGAGCCCATTTGTTGGTGCCAAACTACAGTGTTACCCCTTTATATTCTCTGCAGTTATCCTTGAAGGGTGACACTTTGGCAGCCGCTGGGGCACACTTTGGGGCCCAAAGGCTCAGGCGTCAGCATCAGTCTGTTGTCTACTTTAGGCGTCCAGTATGAATGTTTGTAGGAATGGGGGGGGGGATAAATTATACCCGCTTGCCTCAGAACCACAGTTCCCATGGGTTCCTGATTGTGAGAAGGAGACTAAATACATTCAGCTGACTGTGCTTAGAGTCAGACTTTTGCACTGACATGGACCAAGTGCAAGAATGCAGCTAGCACATGCTAGGAGGCTAAGGAGCACCTGAATAGGGGTTTCAGGATCAGGTTCATGCTATTTTGTTTAGCTATGGTAAGGAATATACAAATTAATTTTATAAAATGTTGGTTTCTGAACTTTTCCAGTGCTTTCCACTTGTTACTCAGTGCTAGGCTCCTGAAGAGCTCAAGATTAGTTCGCTCAATGAACAGCACCTTCTGTGCTCAAAGCAGACTATTGTAAGTGTTATTGTCTCTTAACATTTACTCAGCAGCAGAAGTGTGCCAGATGCTGGGACAAGCACAAAAGTAATATGCCCACCTCAATTATTAGCTCAGTGGGCTCTGTCTTGAGTTCCATTCGGGAAAAGATAACTATTGTTATTTATAAACAGATCTTCCACCTCCCCCACTGCTTTCCTCACATTCCTTGAAAGCTGCTGCACCTTTAGGAGCTTTGAATGCAGCAAGAACAACTTTGGCTTAAGTCCATGGCATCAACCAGTAAGTCTTTCTCATCTGGAGCCATAATGGGACATTGCCAGTTGACACACTGACAACACTGGGCTACATAAGCCAGTCATCTGGTTCCTAAGAAGGCTGCTTCCTCTGTTCTCTTTCTTTTTGCAGTTACAACTACTACACACATGTGTAGTTGTCCTATGTGGCTGTATGGTTCAGAAGTATGTGTATCCAAGTTTTTTAAAAAATACTTCGTTACTTTTACACTTTGCTGCTTTGTGTGGAAAAACAGTACACATGCTTTAAAAACAAAATGATAGATTATACAGAAGGAGCATCAGACCATGCAAAGTGCAAAAAGCAGATAAAAAGATATTATACCGCAGGTGCTGCATGGGCAAGGAATAGGTCCTCAGAAAGCTATCAGGCAAACATAAACCCTTCATGGTGGGTTCAAGAACCTTATAAAAGCCTGGCAGTCATAAAGAGACCCACAAGCACCTCAATATGCAAGTTCCCATACAGCCAAAGTGCCTGATCTTTCTTGGAAGCTAAGCAGGGTCAGGCCTGGCTGAAATCTGGATGGGTGACTTAGGGCAGCGCTTCAGCTATGGGTGGTATAGAAATGTAATATAATAATATGCCTTTGAACAGTTTTGGAAAAGTTGGCTTTTAAAATTTAATCATTCAGTGCCCCATGGGACCTTGAATGGGACATGAACACGAAAGGCAACCTTAATATATTCATCTCACTTTTTAAATTGTCTACCACAATTAGTTGATTTGCAATCCTTTGTTTGTTGAGTCCAGGGGACACAGCAAAGCTTCCAAACTTGCTTGGTTTCCCTTTTCACCCTCTCCAAAAAGTAAAGGGAAGAGACTCCGTGACCTACATGGGTCACTTGACACAAAAAGTGGCTTGGAGGAGCAGTGACCCTTTCAAACTGGAGCTTGAGAAAAATGAGTCAGCATTGTAATGTATTTAGCTTGACTGCAAAAGAGGCCGAACTCCCCCCTCCTCCACCCAACTGCCAGTATGTGGCACAGTGGATTCTGGGTGCTGAGCTGCTTCTGACTACGGTAGATCGAGCGGGAGGGTCCCACAGAAATTAAGAGTGGGAGTGACTATCAGCTTGAATCTAGGGTTGAGTGGTTGTGGCAACACAACAAGCAGCTAACAGGCCGGAAGCAATAAAGATGGGCGTACTAAGGCCATTGGAATCATAAATACAATTTGCAGCAGCCGATTGAGCCCATTTCTTCTGTAATACTATGCCAATTGCTTATGCAGCCAAACCTATGGCCTGCTCTGACTTATGAGATCTTTTTAATGAAAGCATTAAAACTAGTAATTATGGCTCAGGGGTGGAAAGGATGTTCCACATACCAGAGGTCACATATTCACAAGACCCAGCATCTCTAGGTAAAAGGCAACAGATAGGAAATATCCCAACTGAATGAAATCCTGCAAAGGTCTTGCTATAAGAATAAATGTTTTTCTGCTGTAGTAGAGATGCTTTAGGGAGGCGAAAACAGATTCCTTGTCAATAAAGGTAACTGTCTCTTTCCAGCAAATCTT